GCTAGGAGAGCGGCCAAGCAGGTACTCGGCAAGGACGTCTTTTGGAGTTGGGACCGTAAGTGTAGCGCAGCTCTCTGACCATTTACTGACGAGATCAGTCCCTAAAACCAGAGAGGGCTACTACCACTTTAAAGGAGGAATAGAGGCTGCCATCAAACGTTCGAATCTGTTTGCACCTTACGCCGACTTGTTGTGGCTCGAGACCAAGAAACCCGATCTGCAGCAAGCACAAAGCTTTGCGAGGAGGATAAGAAACGTTCATCCTGGAAAGTAAGTGCGAACGTGATTCCCGAACCTCACTGACACGGCCAAGGATGCTCGTCTACAACCTGAGTCCAAGCTTTAACTGGTCGGCCCATGGATTTTCCGGTACATCTTGTGGCGAATCTCGATTTTAAAGCACTGACACTTTTGACAGATGTGGCTCTCAAGTCATTCGTCTGGGACCTTGCCAAAGAAGGGTATGTACTGGAGTATTCCCACACGAAATAGATAGCTGATCCTATTTTAAGATTCGTCCTACAGCTAATTTCTCTCGCTGGAATTCACAGCACCGCAACCGTGACCGGTAGGCAATGTACTTGATGGCGGGAAAGAGTCTTACAGAGCCACGCAGTTGAATTAGCTCGCCGGTTCCAGACTGATGGGATGCTAGCCTACGTAGAACTGATCCAGAGGAAGGAGAAAGAATTGGACTGTGATGTACTCACGCATCAGAAATGGTACGCGTCCCTCTTGGTGCCCTTCTCTTACTCACCGGTCGTTAGGAGCGGCGCCGCTTACATTGATCGCATGTTGTCCAGTAAGTATCTAGATCATAGACCTTTCAGACCACTTATGGGATTTTAGCCGTCATGTCGGGTTCTTCGAGTACTTCGGGTATGGGTGCCGACTCTACGGAGCATACATTTTGATTAGTTCAAGTCAATGTCGAATAGTATAATATTTCTCTGAATGAATTTATTTTGTCTCCATACCGGCGCTATCCTTGGGGGCTATTCCGTTTCGCACGGCGTAGCCATTCCCGTTACGGTAACCGAAACCTTGCTCATGCTTCACGCTATGATTGATGGTTGGACAAGGCTTGTATGCGCTCTGCGTATATAAATCACGTACTTTGGGGATGAAATCTCTGCAACACTTTACCCTGATGGACACTTGGAATGCCTCACATTTGCTGGTTTGGCCGCTCGTCGCTGGCGCTGCCGTCTCGGGATTGATCTACGCACTTAAACCGAAAGCGATTGGGAATATTCCTCATGGTTCTCTTACTTTTCTGGTTGGGGACTTTCCGGCCATTTTGGAAAGCGTCAAACAAGGGCTGGGCATTGGACATTGGATATCACAGCAATCCTTCAAACACGGACCTATTATGAGCATTCACATGGGACCGTTGTTCACAAAAGTTGCCGTCACCGATCCGGAGGAAATTGAAGACATACTGCACCACCGCATGGATGATTTTGTCTTTAGTGTCACGCAAAAGGCCGTCTTC